TTATTTTTTCTTTTTGCGGTATAGAGAGAGAGGGTCCTGTGCGATGTGTTTTGGAGGTGGGGGAGAGAGGGAAAGAGAGGTCTCTTTTTTCTCTCTTTTTTTTCCTTAAAAATGAAAAGACTATATTTTCTTTTATAGTTGAAACCATTGTTTTTCAGCTATATTCATCAGAGTTGACAAGATTAATAAACATATGGATTGCAAACATTAGCAAAGTCAAACGATGTTAAAAAAAGTCCATTTCTCATTCCAGAAACAACACTAGAGCTTGATAGATGCAACAATCCATCAATCATTAACCAAAAGTAATTGTTCACATCATTCTTCTTTCTTTTTCAGCATGAAATTGTCTACAACAGTTAAAAGTGCAAAAATACTCAGTAATCAAAGAATCAGTAGTCCCAACAACCATAAAATACTCCACGAAAATATCTAGTACAACCCCTTAATTATAACTCAAACCATTCTATATCCCTCCAACCATCTGCATATGAAGAAATCAAACCAAATTCAGTCATAACTCAAAGAAAGAAATCAAACCAAGTTTAGTCATAACTCAATGAATAATTATATAATTATTTATAAATAATTATTCATCCGTTGCTCCAGGCTAATTGATTTTTTTTTTTCCCATCTCTCTAATTTATAATTTAAGAGTACCACTAATTTAACTCTAGACTTAAATTTAATGATACCAATTCATAATGAATTGATGCAATAAATGAACGGAGCACACCAATTCAAGTGGTGTTGTGTTGGTGTAATTTATGTGATTCAAATTAAAAAATAAATAAAGAAGAAGACAATATAAATGCAAAAGAGCTACTGACACTAAACACATAATGGTTCTGACTTGATGGAGATAAGGGCTAGAGGTGCGTGATGATTCCACAACTAATGGTGAAGAAACTTCCGACATTGCAAAGGTTTCACTTTTCCGACAAGTCCAACAAGAAATGATGAAGAAACTTAAGGAAGAGACGAAGACATAAGAGAATAATGGAGTGGGAGAGAGTTCTTTGTGGAAAGAAGAAATCTGTGCAAGGAAGAGCAATAGAAATGAAGAGACACACCCAAGGAGAGAGAAATTGAAGTAATGATTGCTACATGTTTTCAAAAAGTAAAAATAGAATATTGATTTTTTAAATTTAATATCCACACGTTATTATCGTGCATATGCCATTGTAAATAGGCAAGAAAGTACAGAGGGGTAGTACAAAATACATGGCATCCGCACAATAATAACGTCCGGATGTCCGCATATGAGAATTTATATATATATATATATATATATATATATAGTCTCATTCTATTGAGGGATCTCTCAAATTATTTTATTTGAGGGACACCGTTTAGAGTTCCACTACGAATGTTAAGTCCATTGCCTTAATTCTAATACATAGAGAAGGGTATTCGAACTTAAATGGAGGTAAATTCATTGTCATGGCAAACTGACTTAACCCGTTTCTAATTTTCGATCGATATATAAACATATATGCATATTTCTATTTCAGGGTTTTGGAGAATTAAAATGCGCACGAGGGCACACCCGCCCATGCACAGAATTGAAGCATGGGGTTTTATTTTTCTGAAAGACTAGTTGAATTGAAGCATGAGGTCGGCATTTAAAATTGCAACTTCATTGTTCTTTGATTTCTTACGTTAAAACTCACAAACCAGTTCCGTGACCCAAGACCCAGTTTAGCCCAACAATCCCCGTGCCGTGCGGCTGTGCCTACGTGGACATGCAGTGAAAAAAACGACACACCGTTCGCAGCTTTAACCGCCAAACCAAGCGGAGCCGAGCGAGTCGTCGGAGTCAGCCAGCGCAAGCTGAGATATTCTACGGTGAGTCGCAGCTGTCGTTTAGCGGTTTATAATTGAGAGGGGCCTGCCGGTAGTGCATTTTGATTGGAAATTAGAAGAAAATCATTGGATGTGATTCTGACCCCACCTTCCTTCCCCATATCTTCTGACTCATCGTCTTACCGTCCATCTCTCAGTGCGGTTTTTCTGTTATGACTTCTCTCTCTTCCCTCACCAACCAATCAAACCTTGATAATATATACACATCTCATGCATCCGGCAAAAACCTTTTGTGGTTTTTTTTTAATTCTAAATAAATCAAGTATTGTCTATGGATCCTATATATGTCCAAATTTGATGACCATTTTCTATTTCTTAAATATAATCAGTAGTTTTTAATTCCAGCTCATTGTTTACAATTTATTTTCGTTAAAACTCCGTTGCATCATAAATATGTTATATGTCTATTAATTAAAATTTAGGGCGAAGAGTTTATTTATAAAGTGATTAAAAGAATCTACTTATGAGTACGTTTTGTGTTTGGTTCTCTCCCCAATAATATAATTTCTGGTAATAAAATTACTGGCTATGCAAATTATCTTGTTGTATTTGCATCAATTCAATTGGTTAAAAATTATGTCATAATTTCATACAAATAAGAATTTTTTAATATGACAGTCACACCGTTACGTGATGTTATTAATTTATTTATTATAATATTAATGAATATTAAATACTTAAAGTACATAAATATACGTATTATGACATAAATAAACCGTGACATAAAAAAATTACTCCATACATTCATGAACCCAAATTGCAAGGTCACATACCCTCTCTCTTTACCTTTTTCATCTCTCTCTCTCTCTCTTTTTGATCAAAAGGTAGAGATACTTTAACAAAAGTCTCACTCTGCTCTGCTCTTCTCTCCTCTGCTCTGCTTTTAAAGTACATGTGAGAAACACTTTCCTCTTTTCCAATTTTCGTTTTTCAAATTTTGTCCTCATCAAATTAAGCACTATCTACGTATATATCTCCTCACTCACTCTCTCTCTCTCTCTCTCTCTCTCTCTCTTTCTCTCTCTCTCTCTCTCTCTCTCTCTCTCTCTCCATATGCACTTTTTGTAATTATAAAAGGCCCATCCCCCTCCCCTTCAAAATGCAACTACAAATTGCCAGCCCCCCACTTAGAAAGTGAGAGAGACTCTGTTAGAGAACTCTAGTCTCCTCTCTTTCTGATATTGTGTCCTCTCTCGCCATTGGAGAGCCACCCAAGTGATCCAAATCTGTACATACCCACATAACCCCCTACAGCTCACAATGAGGCTCTCTATCAAACCCGTAACTACTCCAAATCCCTCCACACTCATCGTCCCTACCCAAAAATTCAAGACAATAATCAGCTGCTGCTGCACTCTCACTCAATCACCAACATCCTCAACCCCCAATCAGGCCACTTTCACACAAAACCTACCCAACTGGGAGCAGCTGCTCAACCCAGTTTCCCTCAGCTCTCTAACACTCACCCAGCCCATCACCCCCATCACCACCACCACCGCTGTCACCGCCACAAAACAACCCATTCGCAAAATCTGGGAAGAGTACCAAGGCGTCAAGAACTGGGAAGGCCTTCTAGACCCACTGGACGACAACTTACGCGGCGAGATTCTCCGGTACGGGCAGTTCGTCGATGCCGCATACAAGGCGTTTGACTTTGAACCGGATTCACCGTCCTACGCAACCTGCAAGTACCCCAAGAGCTCCTTGTTAGAAAACTGCGAGCTCCCGGCAACTGGCTACCGCCTAACGAAAAATCTACGTGCTACGTCTGGCATCCAGCTGCCACGGTGGATAGAAAAGGCTCCCAGCTGGGTCGCCACGCAGTCCAGTTGGATTGGCTACGTGGCGGTGTGCCAGGACAAGAACGAAATCGCTAGGCTAGGGAGGCGCGACGTGGTGATCTCCTTCCGAGGCACCGCCACATGCTTAGAGTGGCTCGAGAATCTTCGGGCCACTCTCACGCACCTCCCGTCTAGAACTAATAACAATTCAGGTCTAAACGAGTGCGAGCCAATGGTGGAAAGTGGTTTCTTGAGCCTCTACACCTCAAGGACCCACTTAATGCCAAGCTTGCAACAAATGGTACGTGAAGAGATTGCACGTTTGCTTCAATCGTACGGCGACGAGCCACTCAGCCTGACCATCACCGGCCACAGCCTCGGAGCTGCACTTGCCACTCTCGTAGCCTACGACATCAAAACAACGTTCAACCGGTCCCCGCTCGTCACCGTCATGTCGTTCGGCGGGCCACGTGTTGGCAATCGGAGCTTCCGGCGCCACCTGGAAAAGAAAGGCGCCAAAGTGTTACGCATTGTCAACTCTGACGACGTCATAACTAAAGTCCCCGGTTTCGTAATCGACGAAAAAGAAAGGCGTCACTTGGCCTGCGACCGCGGGGCCCACAAGAGGGTGGAGATCCAGAACTGGCTCCAGAAGAAGGTGGAGGACACACAGTGGGTGTACGCGGAAGTAGGGAAGGAGCTGAGGCTAAGCAGCAAGGACTCGCCGTACGTGAACGGCACCAACGTGTCCACGTGTCACGAGCTCAGCACGTACCTCCACCTGGTCGATAATTTCGTCAGCAGAAAGTGTCCGTTCAAAGCCACCGCGAAGAGATTGTTGGGTAGACACTGCTAAACAAACTTTAAAGAGAGAAACAACTAACGACATCGTTTTAATTGTCCCCTTTGTATATACAAAATGTATTTTCCCCCCAAATTGGGGGAATTACAAATTGAGAGAAACTAATTAATCAGCTGATTTTGGTGACCGTTCTATCCTTCTGTTTTTTTTTCTTTCACAAACAGTGGAATATTTATAAGATTTCTTTTGCACTCACAACAAAGCTACACCACTATTTGGGGACGGATCTATATAGTCCAGATGACTCGATTTTTTATAGCCCAAAATTAATATCTCAGCCCACCCAAGCGCACCCTGAACACTTGCACTCAGGAGCCGCTTCACTCTCCTCAGCGCCCTCATCATAAATATGACAGGTCATCGTGGTTCATTTGAGTCAAACCTATAACCGTTCTATCCTGAATGGAAATATAAGTAATTTTGGCTCACCTATAACGCACCCAAGGGTAAAATAGTAAAATCACCGTACCATTCTCTCTCCATCTCTCTCTCTAAACACATAGCAATACAGCTTTAGAGCACTCAGTCACAGCAGCAGGAGCAGGTGGTTCTTTTATACGTAGACCACCGGCCCGTGTTTGATTGAGCAAGCTGACGCAACCCAAAAAGGCCAAGATTGTTTTCTTCTCATTGGGTGGTGCAGAAAGACAGGAGTACCCTCGGTACCGACCCATAATTACGTGCGTGTGCCTTTGTCTGCACCGACCTCGTCCTGCTAGCATATGGCGTTGTACTTAGTACAACTTTCGTTGTTGACGTAAATAGAGTCTGGGGTAGCGCCGTCCATACCGAACAATTTCTCCGTCGGTTTAAGTGAAAATGACCAAATTGACCCTCTGCGCCGTTTTTTAACTGCATAGAGGCCAAGTGTTCCCAACAGAAGAATTAGGGTCAAAGTGGAAAAGAGCAGCGACCAATCACTTGGAAGTGGAGGTCACAAATGAGTGCTACCGTTGTTTTGCCCTTAAAAAGGACATGACTAAAACTATTTATAAATAATAATAATAATAAATTATTTTATGTTGTTATTCTTCATGCCATAATTTTTTATATTTACCTATATATATATATTTTTGGGGTCAATATTTACCTTATTCTCCTCTCCCTCCAAGAGTTAGAAATTGTGCTCTCAACCAATAATGATTTTAATAATGCAAAAAATATTTTAAACCTCCATTTAAAAGGAATTCAAAGTTTATTTTATTTCGCAAAAGAATTCCTTTGTTTTGAGGATATTTTTTTTTCCTCAAAGTTAAGAAGGGGGAAAACTCATACACATGGGTATCATGAGAGTTTGAATTCATGACCACTTGGGAGCACACCAAAGGCTTGGGAAAATCCAACTAACACCCATTGGTGAATTTTTTTTTTCTTTCCAATTTTAGAGTTCGGCTTATTTAGTGCCCATTTGGCATTGTTTATTTGGGGTGATAAGTGATTTTTTTTAAAATTTGGGAGGCCCAGCCCGTTTGGTAAACTATGAGAAAATCACTTATTATTAAAAATTTATGTGAGAGAAAGCTATAAGGGAAAACAACTAATAAGGTGCTTTCATTTTCTAATTATGCAGGAATCAGTTTAAAAGAGGCGTTGGGTTTAATGATTATGAGGCAATCATTTTCTGATTATGCGGGAATCAACACCAACAACATTTTAAACAAAAAATTTACCAAACGCGAAACTACTTTATCTCATAGCTGATTTCTCTCACAACAAATCTAACAACGATTATTTTCACAGCACAGCAATGCCAAACTGGCCCTTAGCCCTCTTATAATAAATATTCTTAAACTTGATAGTTTGTATAGGTTTTTATTTTCATTTTGGAAAGAGATAATTTCAAGTAGTTGATAATTTTTTGCGGAAACTTTTGTTCCAATATTTTTGTTATTGGTAAGATTTGTAATATGGTATGGTATATGTTATATTATAAAATTAAAAAAGTGTTAATATTTTGAATCTTTGTTCGTATTATGTGAATTATCAGGATGTAATATATATGACAGAACTAGTCAATTTTTATAATAAATATATAGGTTTCAATTTTCAATTTTTCTCTGCTTACCATTGCTCTTCTTTTTGGAGCATTCCGCAATATAGTTCAACGATATGAACTGTCTTATTTTTAGATCCAACTTTCATGGAAAAAAAAAAAAAAAAAAAAAAAAAAAAAAAAAAAAACAACAAAAGTGTAAAATTAGAAATAATTGGAATAATTTGGCTAATTATTCATCATGAATAATTTCATTGTATTTAGCGAAAATATTGTGTTTGTCTCTTTGTTGTGCTATTATTAGATGACTAAAAATGACTTTGAATTATGGTGATTTTTTGTTAGAATGATCCTTCAATGAACCATTAAGATCATCGAATTGAAATGATGGTTAGACCCACCTGCGATTTTTTGGTGAATGGTAAAAAGAATCTTTATATATATATATATATATATATGTTTACATAAAGTACAGTTTGTGTGGAATCCTATTTGATTTTGGGACCTCTAAACCCTACTAAGTAAGATAGTTAACTCTAGTTAGAAGAAGAACTATAGTGTCCCATGCATTATCTACGATGAATATATGAACCATTCATTATCAAAGATGACTCTCCAGGCATGACTTACACGTTTTTTTTTTGGGAGGGAAAAAGCGTGGCATGTGAGAGACTTACACATTACATTTTGAGATTAATGCTACTTGCCTGTTAAAATATTATATATAGCCTCCAAGTGCACAATGAAATTTTTAGATTTGCCTAAATTTTAAGTGAAATTACATAATTTAATACAAATGATAATCTAAACTATAAGGAGATGGGTTTTCACACAAACTACCATTGTGTCATGAGAGTTATCGAACTTGAAACTACTGGTCTCCAAGTTAATGCCCTCGAGAAAGACTGTTCATTATCGAGAAAGACAATTCTCATTGGATTGAACACTTTCTCTTTTTTGCTTTTTTGGTTCGATGCAAAGCCAAAGTCGTTTTATTCTCCGACCTCTCGTTTTCAACATCTACAAAGACAGTTCTTTAGCCTGAAAGCACACTTACATGGCTTCGATTCATTGAACTAGGTCTAAGGGATACTTATATATCTTGGTGCAACGTGCATGCAAAATTTAAGCAAATAAACAAACGTGGGGGTTGAGGGGTTCAGTGCCCTAAAATCCAGCATGCATGACAAATTTTGTTGAAGAAGGTCGTTTTCCACAGAAGCCCAGAAAGCCGAAAAATTTGGGGGGGGGGGGGGGGGGGGGGGGTCGGTGTGTCATTTCAACATCAGTGGCCATCGACGCTGATACAATATTTCAAATGCAGAGATACAGTCTTGTGGAGATTTGTGACTGCGACTGTTATGACGGTGGTCTGTGCAAAGCGTGCGCGTGTAAATAATTAAGTCGGTGGTCCTCTATACATCTGTGGTCAGAATTCTCTGTCTTATTTATCGATCCCATTTTATGATCTTCCTTATGAAGATGGGTTGAAAATCAGGAACGAAAATCAGGAACGAAAGAGTAATTTTAATTAAAAGATTCTCAGCCAGAGTACATTTACGGGGAACAAAGACAATTTTACAAAACCGAAATAAGTTTGTCGATCGTGTCAAAATTGAACAGTTTATTACTCACCCTAATTTTTTGTGTTTAAATATGGGATTTGATTTCCCCACTCCATTTTTCTCTACTTACACTCCCTTTTGCTTTTTAATACTTTTTAATCAATTTTGTTCTTTCATTTTCCTATACCCTACATTGATTTCTTTTTACTTCACTTTTATATTAGTTCTTTTTCTTTACACTTAATTTTCCAACTTGTACTCTATTTTTAGTTTTTTTTCTTCCTTTAATCAAGTAAGAAATTAAGTTTTTTTTTCCCTTTAATACTGAAAATGGAGTGTAAGTAGGGCTGACAATGGGTCGTGTCGTGTCGGGATAATAAACGTGTCAAGAATGCTCAACCTGAACCCAACCCATTTAATAAACGTGTCGTGTCGGGTTCGGGTCGTTTTTTTATCGTGCGGGTTTCGAGTCGTGTAACGAGTTCATAAATAATAACATGCATGTTACGAAACTCACAACTGAAAAAATTTTAATTAAAAAAAAAAGAGTAGAGAAAATATAAGGAAAAGAAAGAAAAAAAAAGATAGAGAGAGGAGAGAAGAGAGAAGGAAAAGAAAGAAAAAAAAATAGAGAGAGAGAGAGAGAGAGAGAGAGAGAGAGAGAGAAGATTGAAGGAAAGAAAGAAAGAAAAAAGAGAGATGAGAGAAAACTAAAGAGAAGGAAAAGAAAGAAGAAAAAAAAGGAGAGAAGAGGAAAGGAAGAGAGAGAGAGAGAGAGGAAAAGAAGAAAAAAAAAAAAAAAAGGAGAAGAGAGATGGAAAAGAAAGGAAAAACACAAAAGAAAAAGAAACATTATAAATATCAAATAAAATCACAAAGTTATTTATAGCATGGTGGATAAGACATTTGAGAGAAATGAGGGTGTTAGGAGTTTGAAACCCCTTGTTCTGTAGTTTTGAGTTTAGTCCCAAGTAATAGTCAACTTAGAATTGTTTTGAGAAGAAAACTTGCCTATCTAATGAAATTAGGAGAATCTGTGATGAATTAATATATAGGTTTATATTATACTCCAGCGCTTCTGAGAGATGCTAGAAATGCCACGCAAAGCTGGGCAAATTGCGGCTTGAAATTGAAGTCAATTATTTCTCAGTCTTGATAATATCCACCAAACTTTGAACTTCGAAATTGGAATATAATCTTGCAGTCAAAATAAAATCTACTTTTTGATAGTACAGGACAGGAGAAAATATAAAAGATAGTTCTCATAAATATAAAATAATAATTAATAAATAAATAAAAAAGAGGCGTTCATACATACAATCATAATAAAAGTGCTACGATAATCAACACATTATTCTTCATTTAAATTTAAGCTCTAAATAGATAGTATTCCTGATGTGGAGGAATATTTTAGACAGAATTCGTAATGTGTTCTTAAATTCTAAGGATATCAAACTACAAGAGTTAAATTGCCAAAATTAAAACTATAAGATGGAAGTGGAAAAACTGACAAACTACGTAATCAAAACTAACTTTTGGATTAAAGTTCTTTCAGATGTGTGTATGAACCGTTTTAGTAACTGACCTTGACTCCCAATTTCTCAAAGCCCACCCTTACACATAATATATGCCTAATAGTATACAGCGCCATGATTCTTTCTAATTCACATCACCAGCAGCAATAGAATTTGGACTCACTTACGATGGGCGGTGGTAATCTACACCAACGACAGTTTCTGTGATTGAACGCGTTCATTCTTGACTGATGGAAATTTGGAATGTCATACTCGGTTGCAACGTGCTTAATTAGCTAGCAAATATAGAAGTATAGCAACTTATTAAATTAATTCATCTTTTTTTCTCTCTATTATTTATCAAATAGAAAAAGAAAAAATAAATAAATTCTACGTCCCGTAACGATTGAAACTTTCATCCAACGACTTAAAACATGTCAAATTGAAGTACTAACTGATAAGTTTCTGAACACTTAGTGTACCTAGTTTGTACTTGTTGGTCCTAACAAGAATATTTTCATATTCGAAACATTTTTTTTAAACACTGCAATTACATCTTCTTTAAGCAATTAGAACTATTTCAAAGAGGAAGCTACATGCTA